GAAATCAATGTTCCAAAACGGATCAACCAATGATTTGGATTCTGAAGTCCAGTTGGAGTACCGCAAAGGCTCTTGAATCGAATGAATTTTTTCACCGGCCATGGGGAGTCGAAATGATTTACTTTATAAATGTGAAAACGTTAATATTCTACACATCTTTTGGAAGATATGTTAAGTAGCGGGGTAAATACAGAAATAATTTTTCGAAAAAGGAAGAAGGGCTAAAATTAAAGCAAGTGAAGGGGAAAAATTTAAAGAATTGTGTGATCTTAAAATTAATAATATAGTTCACTACAAAAACAGTGCACGTGCAAAATGATTTGTTGTGCAACAATGTAAGTGAAAAACTATGGCTGGAAATGAGTTTTAAATCGCATGGTCAATTCGAATCATTAACATGCCACAAAAAGCGTTTCATTCGAATAGCAGCAGTCGGATCCAATCAAAACCCGAACAAAACATTTTGAGGGTCGAACTCAAAAATTTCCACAAGCATCATGGACGATACAAAATTGGCGCTGGTCTTTCTTATTTGCAACGATAACTCTGTATTTTCAAATAATTGCGAACTTTTAGCATTTCTAAACTACAAAACTGAAGATAGCGATGTTTGCCTTAAACAAAATCTGTTGTAAACAATCAGCTCTTTCAAAAAGGACATATACTTTTTTTTTACTAGTGATTTTCGTCTAACATATACTTGAAATTAAAACAATTTATTAAAAAAAACTTTTTTCATTTTCACAGTAGAACATGGAACGCCTAAAATAATGGTGCATGTCTGATTTTCGCTGATCTCTAAATTTTCAAAAGTTTCAAATTCAGAAGAAGAAAATGCGAGAAAGTAGTGCTGTTGTAGCACGACTAGTTTTTTCTTTTCAACAGCAGACAAAGTCCGCAATATTGCTCATTGGGATGAAGTTTTGTTATCGCTAATGCAAAAATTACAAACGTCTATTTTACCCATTTTATTTTTGCTCTTGAACTTAAGATATGATAAAAAAATTATATATGCCTAATTTAAGAACTCTTATCTTGTTTGAATGAAGATTTATCATGATAATCAATACGAAAGTATTCTATTTCATCCTCCGTTCCCCTTATTTCCATTAGCATATTCAATCATTTCCATTCTTTTTTTCTACACTCCGATTCACTCCAACGTATACTATGATATACTATTGCGGTCTCCGAGAAACGTACAAATTTTGCCACCAGATGTCGCTTCAAGCGTTGCTTGTCTGGCCCCTGGCCAGTTGTTTTAAAATTTGAACATTTCAAATAAAGCGCGAAGCTTTTAATACTTGTTGTAGAAATTTATTTTGAATAACTTCTCACTTGCGTTTGTATGGTTTTTCAGTGCCACTGTTGGTGAATTTTTTTTATTACTGGCGTTTACGCACACATATTAAAGGCATACTAAATATAACTCCAGAAGTGAAAAAAGTCGTCTGGATTGAACAAAATATGTCTAAAGCCTCTTCTACGTACTATTTTCGCTAGATTTTTCTTTTTTCTTATTCATTTTAGATATTTTTATTATCTTCGTAAATACTTATTACTGCCAGGAGCGGATCCGTCCGATCGATTTGTAGTGGGCCATCATGGATTTTTGTTAAATAGTAAACATTTTTTATTATATTGTATATAATTTTTGTAGTGTATATAAGACACTTTACAATATTACAGGGTGGCCAGCGAACTTGGAATCCTTGAAAATTTATTTTTTTTTAAAAGAACGGGAATTAGGAAAAAACAGGAATTTGATTGGAAACTGGGATTTTTCATTATTTTCAGATTTGACCCCAACAGTTATCACAAATTTACAGAGCATCGTATTCAGTAAAGTGATTCAATTTAGTACGTGATAATGGCTAGTGAAAATCGAACTTTGTAAAAAGTGCCTGAGAATTGCGTCCTCGCTTCCTTGACTCGCGCATAACACAACTTCAAACACTGCCGTGTGTGTAGATGCAATGAAGGTTGAGTATCCTGCGGATATCGATGCTCCATTGCAATCACAAGATTAAAATGTCCTATAGTACAAAAGCTTAAAGTTATCATGTACTGATGCGTAGGTGTTATGGGCTTATTGTTATTTGAAGGATATTCCAGTCGCAGTCCTAGATCTTCTGTAAACTTCCTCTTCGACATTCTGCATCTGGTTATGAACTGACCATCGTTCAGAAGTCGTAAAAATGATTTTTTAGAGAAATTGCTTGTTCTTGACTATTCTTTTTTAAAGCAGTACTCGGAAGTAAAGCATCAAAATGATCTCCCTCGTTAACATTTCGGCATTCGAACGACCATTCGAGTAGGCCTTCCAGCGCATCCTTTATGTAATGTTCTTTCTTTGTTAACATCGTTTTTCGTTTTCCACATTAATTTATGCTCATTAATTACATGAAAATCGTTTATTATCGCTGTTTATGGCATGCGTACAATTAAAACTTAATCGTGCAATTGAAAGCCCACAATAGCCAATCATAATTCAGAGGACTGATCGAAATCGTTTAATTATGTATCTTTAATATAGACGCTTCCAGACGGCCATGAAACATGAACAAAAATGTACATCACATATTACGTACATCAAAAACATAATCAATGTACGTATGACACAAAATTATAAACTAACACTTCACTACTATGTGTGACTCCCTTAGCGATTTTCCACGACTTGTATAGATTATATTCTTTTTCATAGACATCTTTACTTTTTGTGGGGAGCAATGCATTCATTGCGTTTTCAGCTTCTTCTAATATTTCGTCCGGAATATTATTTTAATCCTCCATGCTTTCTAAATTCAAGTCGCTATGGTGATCGTAAATACACAGGCAAGGTCTATTAAAATTGTCCTTCGGAATAAAAATGACATCATCAAAGTAAATATGGAATGCTAAAGATATATTTTTATTATTCAAAATAAAAAATATTTTTGAATGAAAACGAAAAAATATTGAACGTGGTAAATAAAGAAACTTGCTCCTATCGTCGCTGGTTTCTTTAATCATACCACATCGTGCAATTATACGCCTATTTATACACTAGTTTCGTTAACTACTATAATATAACTTTTTTAATGTAACGAATTTTAATTTAATACCCTATGTAAAGGAAAAGAATTCAGGAGTTGAAAGAAACTAGTGGTGCTAAAACAGACAGTAACTTTTTCGCCCCTACTTTCACGCAAAATTACGCGAAATGTACTCAAATTTTCGAAACATTGTACATGAACTTATTTCAAACTGTCTTTAAGGAACAAATTTCATAAAGGGAAAAATCGTTATCGTTAATATTTTAATGGGAGGAAGACTCCTAATTTGAACTTTTCCAATTTTTGGAAAATTAGGGTTTTTAACGAACACGAGACCTGCACCACTCTTAAACGTCTTTTACACTATCCAACGACACAATTTAATCAAAAACGAGGGGCCCGTTTTTTGAAAATGTCTCAGGTCCTTCACGCAAAGGACCATCCAAAATTAAAATATCGGTTTCAAATTCAAGAGGCCATCAGCCAGATCGATTCATCAGCCAGATCGATTGGGAAATACCAATTTTGAAGAAAATCCAATGAACGGTTTAGCTGCTAGGGTTGTTCAGGCATACACGTCTTGCGGAGTTGTATGTGCCAATAGGTTGAATGTAAATAAAGTAATTTTACTCGAAGGTATGAAAGTGGCACTTACACTTTTTTAATTCAAGTCATGAATTGTAAACAATGTTTAAACCTTCATCAATCCTCACGCTCGTTTTCTGGAGCCCTCATTTCGCTGGATCCAAAGTAAAAAGGATTGGTTATTTTGATGTCAGTACTCTAATATCAAATGTGCATCTCGTTTTCGATGCAAAATAGTTTCTACTATATAGGAGCGAACATTTCTGGATATCAGATTTTCTTAAGTGTTCATTGTTATTACTCATAATTCAACTAATGTTAGTTAAGAAGTGGTGGTAACTATTCTAAGGCTCAATCGTGCGCGTATATCGCACGTGCGCCATTTTAAAAATAAAAAAATAAAATAACAAAGAAAGAAATAGTGATCACATTTGATGCACTCTTACACTCACAAGAAGAGTCGTCGGTGGCTGGGTATCCCGGTCGGTCAACATTTAAGGAATATTTTCATAAACATCAAGCTCCGTGTTTATGACCGGTAGTGCCTTCTTAAGACCGGGAGGACCTATCCGCTCAGGGCACGCAAGCATTTAATTGTAGTGGCTTCTTCTTCGACTATACGATGTGTAAGTGTGTAGGTGCTGTCGTCCGTTTCCTCCTCGTCCTGTTCGTCCTTTCACCCCTCACGCATACACATTATATAGATATATAATCTGGGAGCAGTTGACGGACACTAAAACAGCAGAAGCAGTCATTAGACTTTCATTATTTCAATTTCATTTTTGCCTTTATTAATTTATTTCGTTGATATAGTTTTTAATACCTTTAAGTTTTCAATATGATGCTTAACGCTTCTTCGTTTACCCTTGACAAATGGAATATTCAAATGTCTAATTTCCGAAGCGTTCGTAATGCTCCCATATTTCTCTGTTTATCTCTGTAGATTCTGTTTATAACTCCATTATATTGGTATTGTTGCCATTTCAGTGAATGTTCCTGATTGCGAGTCACCTTTCAACCATAGATGTATACATTAGTCTATTAATTGTTTTGTAAATTGATGTAACAAAATAATAAATACAAACTTCTCCTATTGAGGATGAAAAACGTAAATGGTAGTAGTTGTAGTTGAAGAAAGTAGATGTATGGTGAAAATGTAACACCAAGTAAATAAATGTGTCGTGTTAAAAATATCACAAACCGAAAATATTCTTTAAAACTCAAAATAAAAATTTCTTTACAGCGGTCATTTGACTTCTCCCAGTCCTTGAGGGTAGAAGCATCGCTGGCATTCTAATGTTAAAGCAAAAGCTTTCAAATTATTATTACTCTAGTTCATTTCTTACGTGTATCACATTCTTTAACTTAAAATTTCAGATTCCCTGCTAAATGTCGAAGTTTCAAACTCCTGTGACAGTCGTCTTCAGGGATTGAAGTTGGTTGCGAAGAAAAGTGGTCTTGATTTAGACAAAGACAATGAAACTTCTCCAAAAAAACGTCGTAGGAGTCATAAGCGCTCTGAGAGCGAAAGCAATAAGAGAGCGAGATGTTCCACCGGAAGAAGCGTTCGGCCTACTGGTAAGTAATCGCTGACAATAATATTTTATGTTGTTACAGAAAGTATTACTGACTTAATTTTTCATTCCATTTTTCAGGAGGCACAGGAAGTGACAGTGATGACACTTCAGAAAATTCGGCTCTTGGATGCACCCCCATGGCGTCATCTGAGAGCACGCTTTCTTCTAAATCTCCCAGACCTTCAAAGTACAATTTTTATGTTGAATTAGGTAATCGAAGTTGATATTAAAATGCATTTCATTTCATTCCTAATCTGGCTGCGGTGACGTAAGGCAAGCGGCACCAGAGCATTGCGCAACGGATATAACCAACGTGCTTCAAAACTACATGCGTCTTTTCACCGGAAACACGACACGACGTACGTTGTTCGCGGAGATTAGAGTGCTAGCGGGTCATTTCTAGTTCAAAATAAATCGTACAAAAACGTGGATGACATGGAAACAAATTGTAGATAATATGCGTTTCACACGCTTATTACTGCCCCGAGTAATTAGAGATGTTGCATTCAGCCGACAAAGTGAAAATTATTTATGCAGAATTCCACTCTTCGGTCGATTGCAAAACCATGATGACCCCTCTCATTGGTTATCGATTGGCATGTAGTAAAATATCGTAATTTCTTCCCGTGCATGTTTTTACAATTAATTTTTGAATGAAAAGAATCCAATGGTACCTATGAGTTGTGCAAATGATTCAGTTTCTATGCATTTTATTCATATTTCGATTGCTCTCCGATACGATTAGCGTACGTTCGATCCCAACACAGACTGTCAACAACCTAACATTGCTTATTGAAGCTGTAACGAACGCAAAGGATTCGCATGTTGCCTAGAAATTGATATCCGTTGTCCGCAAGGTAATACCCGCACAACTTCTTTTTGACCGATGGATTGCAGAAATGAGGAGTGTGTGGATATTAGTTATAATGACGGCCAATAGGGTATTTGAAGTAGGGCCAACCTAGAAAACCAAAGTGAAACCTACTGGCGCAGCTAGATCGAGAAATAATTCAATACCAAGATTTCTGCGCTATATACAGAATGTCTGAGAAGGAAACTTCGAAAATAAGCTCTTGAGATAATTTTAAGCGTATTTTGTGTAATAAAGTACTTGGATATTCCGAATGGCTAAAGCCGCAATACACACTCAAAAGTTGGTTCGAAAAAATTATTTCTAGGCCAAAATTGCAGAAGCGTATAAACACTCCAGAATCATGTAAATTGTTTATTATTTGCAAAAGAAATAAAAATTTGTCCAGAAAGAAAAATTAAACTAGAAATTAAAAAAAAGAATTGTGTAAATTGGGTATGGTTTTTGACTTTTTAATTTTTCTTTCTGAACAAATATATTAATTTCTTTTGTAAGTAATAACCAATTTACATGTTTCTGGAGTGTTTATATGCTTCTGCAATGCAAGTTTTTGCATAGAAAATACTTTTTCAGCCAACATTTCAGAGGTTATTTTCAACCATTCAGAATATCCAAGTTTATTAGACAAAATATGCTTAAAATTGTCTTGAGAGCTTATTTTTGAAGTTTCGACTTCTCCCTGGACACCTGTATATACAACCTTTTCAATGCTACTTATTCTTTGCTTCAAAAGAAATGTTGTATCTCAGATCCTTATTTAATATTTCCCCTTACATTTTATAATGCATGACTAATTAATTTCTTGACTTGGGAAGGAACTGACTTGTTTGCCTTGCACGACAAATCTTATTTTATTATAATCAATTTCTTATCGACTGAGTCAGTGTATATAGTAACTAACAAGGCAAACTTTTTTTATTAATATTAATTTTTTTATTTAAAAAGTACCATACCTCAACCTTTTTTTTCCGAAGATCTGTGGAAAGTTGGTAGAAATAGTACAAAAGAGTATGATAAATCTGTATCCTTGAATGTTACCTTCCTTTAGCAGATGTTTCCTGTGACTGCAAAGGGTCATTAACACTCCTTGTATTTATTTATTCTATGTACTATGGTGGAAATTCTTGTTCCAATGTATGTAGAATCCCGACCTAAAATGTTACAATGAAAAAGCACCAAAACCTTGGTGTGTGTTTTTTCTTTTTTTCCTTTTTTCAATTCGCATTCATTTGCAACTTTTGATAATTTTGTTTTTGCAGCCCTTAACTTTCTCAGGAGTTTGAGATGAATATTGGGAAGGGTCTGAACCTGCCTCAGACACTTCTTTAGGTATTATTGAGAAAAAACATGAAGAGAAGTTCTCACCTTTTAAAACAACTATCTGTTTTGCGCCAACGAAGTTTCTATGTTTGCAATGTTGTCATCAATGCTCACTGCGAGCTGTTGACTTCAACTGTTTAGAGATCAAGGGAGGGGAAAGTATTACTGGCGCAACTTTTCTTGAACGATGGATTGAAGAAATGCAGAAAGTGGGGGTATCGGTTAGGAAATTGGCTTCTAGATTTTATGAAGCAATGCATATCTCTGGAGAATCAGTCATGCCTTCGCAATGTTTTCTATAATTTGCGTTCTAACTTTCTCAGGAGTCCGAGGTATCTTCTGTGATTTTCACATACTTCTCTCATTTCTTCAGATTTTTTTGAAGAAAATAACGAATTGAACTCCTCGCCTTCAATTCCTGTCAAAGTGTTTCTATTTCGCGCCAGTGATGATGTGTTCGATATGTTATCTGTGCTTGCTGCGAGCGTTTGCCTACAACTGTTTGTGCCAGAAAGGGGGAGGCAAGGTTATCGTTCTAGAAAAGTTGCGCGAGTAATAGGCGAACGGTCAAGAAACGTTGCGCAGTTATTAGCGGGTGCTTAATTGCTTACGACAAGCAGCGCTTTTTTGTGCCATGGTATACTTGTGATCCGTTCACGCCACATAGTTCGCGCGCGGCGATGGTGTACCGGATAGCGCATGGGACTGTTGTACCCCAAGCTGGTGGGTTCAAACCCGATCGAAGCCGTGGATTTTTAAGGGCGAAAAAATCCTTCCTACGCCTTCCTTCGGAGGGGAAGTAAAGCCGGCTGTCCCATGTTAGTAGATCTACTTGCATGTAAAAGATCCTCAAGCCTAAATGACGCCTCTGAGCTAAATTCATATCGCCTGTTTCTCGCCAAAGAAATACTTACTTTGTCTGCTAGCTGGTGAAAGGAGCATAGCAAAATTTTGCGTGGTTAGGCGGAAGAGCAGGCCTCATGGCCTGAGACTTGCCACGTAAAATAAGGCATAAATTCAATTCGATTGCTGCATTTTAAGGTCCATCGTTTCACACTGGAGCACCAAGTCTAAGTTTTGACCAACATTTCAAAATAAACTTTAAAATGTTTTGTGTAAATGAATGAAAATTATTTTTACGACAATTGAATGTATAAATATAACAAATTAAGAACATGCTATCGTATGTATTAATTAGAAACATTTCGAAATATTGCGTAGTGGTCTGTAGTGCATGAGGGGCCCTCCATTGGCAATATTTCAAGCCAGAAGTTAGACGGGAAATTTTTAAAATCATACTACATGAGAATTTTTACATGATCTTCAATCTAATTTAAATAAAATTTAAAACTTGTAATTCTCAAATATTATTTCATTATTTTCATTCACAATATTCGTCAATAAATGGTTGATCGGAAACTACTTCAGATAATAAACATTCTACTACTACAGTTACAATACTTTGACTACAATACTACAATTATTCTTCTAATACTACTGCTACTGCTACTACTACTGCTACTACACTTCAGTTTTAAAAGAGATAATGTGTAAAATAGAAAGAATTTGCAATGGTAGGCTTCCTTGCTAGTCATGTCATCTACTTAACCAGCTTTTTGGTAGCTAGATACCATCTACTCGTTTGCGAATTTTTTTTAAGGCAGGTGGGGAAGGGCAGGACTATTTGTAACTCTCAATCAGTCTATTTAACACCAACTATTGGACCTGCTCTTTCATTCCTATGTTTGAAGTGACTCTTTCAATAATAATAATAATTATTATTATTATTATTATTATTATTATTATAACAACCTGATGATGATTTAATACTGAATTAATAGAAAGTTCACATTTGTTGAGGTGTTTAACATGATTTGTGTAATACTAAAAGATGTAATGCTTATCTGTTATTATTTTTGCGTCATTGGTGTTATTAAGTAAAGCAAGCATGCTAAGTATCACCTGAATGTAACATAACAAGATGACTTAATTTTTATACATTTACGAAGGAATCACTGTTCTCAATGCCCCAATTTTTCCTTCAACTGAAAACACTGATCATGGCTTTTAGTTTAAAAGTGCAATGTGGCAACACAACTTCCCTGTTATGTTTCTAAGGGCTGTTTTGTGGGAGAGGAATTGTAGTGCACTTCCTCACAGTTAGGCTGTTAGAAACTGCCATAGTCCAGCCCACTTGGACAGTTGAAAATGCCTTTAGTTTTGAGTGTTGAAGGATTGCGTTTTAAAGTAATCACTCACTGTAATATGTTCTTTTGAAGTTTAACTACAGTTTCTTTGTGTTTAATTCTAACTTTTTATATGTATGTTTACTTATTTTATTTCAGACCCAGAATTAGATGGCAGTCAAAGGATTGCTTTGTTGCAACAAAAATTACAAGAACTTCGAAAGACTTACATGAATGTAAAAGCAGAGCTTGCTTGTATTGATCGAAGAAGGAAGAAACTTCGTCGAAGAGAGAGAGAAGGTAAAAGTAATGGAGTAAATGGATGTTTTTCGACCTACAAAATTGATATATATCAAAGTCTGGAAAACCTTCCATTCAGATTTCTTGTCCTTTACCATGTTTTTTTGCAGACATTAAGAAAGAGATAAAGTAATGAATATGTCTTTTCATATTTCTATTGGGGATTCTCGTTTCACCAAATCAATAATCTCAAACAAATAATTACAAAAGTCATGGTTAGTTGAATCATGATGGCAATATAGATTGTTGAGGTGGCATCCAGCTATTTTTTCCAAGTGTTATTTGCAAATACTATGAGGAATTATCTGGAGTTTGGTTTAATAATTCTTTCAGTCGAAAACATTTGGGCTCTTACATTTTTATATAAAAACAAATTTACAACAGTCTTTAATGCTAAATGCAGCAAATAATTTTCTTTGCTCCTCTTGCATTTTACATAAAATGACTTTCCAATATTTTTGAAACATACTCTTTAACTGTTGCAAACACAGTCCTATTTTCCCTCTTTCTTACATACTGAACCCTTCACGCGCACTGAATATGCACATTCTGATATGAGATCTCGCAATATCCTTGCATATGCCGAGCATTGTCAACATAGCTTTGTTCAGTGAAACTTTTATTCTTTGTAGTAATGGTGCCTGTGCTAGCCGCTATATCACTAAATTTCCTGCTCCATATACAAGTTTTGTATTATTATTTATAATAGCAGCAGCAAAAACATGTTGGAGATATCTTACATTATGTGGTGTAGTGTGTAAATTATTTTATATTTATATAACACTTCACATATATCTACAGTGAAACTTCAATTTTCCAGTCACTGGAAATTTTCCTAGGATATTGCATAATAAATTAAAACCCCACCCCCGCACTTCACAAAATGTCTGTATAAGGAATATATAACTTTCCTCAATATTACGTTATTTGTGATTGTTTTCTTCAATTTAGCAACAGAATTTGGGGGTCCGAATTAAAAAAAAAAATCTCCCCCCCCCCTTTCTTCAGGGGTAGTGGAGTAGATGACAATGATTGTAAATGACCATTTTTTAGGAAGGGAAAGGGTGAATATAAATGTTTTTTCGTTTTGCATTTCACCCTTTTTAATTTTGTTGTGGTTGGTAATACAAATTCATAATTGACATAATGAACTGCTATACCCCAGTTCAGAGGATCAAATCTGATCAAAGCCATGGATTTTTAAGGGTGAAAAAAATCCCTTGTACATCTTTCTTCAGAGAAGTAAAGCTGGCTGTCCAATATTGTTAATTGACTGCATGTTAAAAAAATACTCATGCTTAAATAAGCCTCTAAGTTAAATTCAAGTCGCCTGTGTGATACCTTCTTTGATATCCTCTCTCTAACCTTCCCACACAATGCCTGGGTCAGGCCGCAATAGCTTTCCAGGCTATTGCCAGAGTAGAATAAATCTGCTAATCACAATGCGCCAGGGGAAGACCCTCCTCTATGCCCAGTATGTCGGGCACAACGAAGCCAAGTGCCCTCTCCGCCTCGAAGCTATCAATGTTAGTGCCGCCAGAATCTAGGCAACCCTGACAGGAGGGGTTCATGCTCCCCCTCTGGATTTTTATATGCAAGTTTGAGGTTTGCTGACCTGCTGCACACAGGTCCTGGTAGCCATTTACAATTAATGTATCCTCAAGGTGGAAGCCTTTTGTTGCGTAACAACATATTTTTAAAAAAATATGTAGAGTTAAATCTACAAGTATAAATTTTAGAGAAGTTTCATATCACAGTGATTTAGTGAGTTAAATTTTCAGATTTTTATCTGGGGTCCCAACAGAGCTAAACAAAACATTTAAGACCATTTTGTGGATCATTTTTAGGTCATCAAAATCTGCCTCCTATTCATGACTATCAACTAGCCATGCCTGTAATTATTATTATTATTATTATTATTATTATTATTATTATTATATACAATCTTATCCAGATATTGGCTGATCTTGGGCAGACTCACGATGATGTCACCAACTTCATAAATAAAGCCTTCAAAAACTAGTGGGGATACGGAGTAACGTTGTTAATAAAAATGCTGTAGATAAATTATGTATTGCTAAAAGTTCAGAATGAACACTAATTATCATGAGGCAAAAAATTTTATTATTAAAAATTCAATTGTTTGAAATATCACCCATTATTGTGCCCCCAGATAACAATATTTTTGTTTGTTTTTCAGTGGAAAAAGCTTCGAAGCAAGAAGTAGCCTGCTCGTGATCTTAGTGAATAGCCTGCAATGGCTGATATGAACTTATGTCCAGAGCATTGTTTTCTGGATTAACAGCATTTTTATAAAGAAAATTATTTTCTTGGCAGTTGTACAAAGTCCATTTACTTATTGGTTTTGATGTTTCTAACCATAATCGCAAGTATTTTGGACTCCAAAGTGCTGAAGTGTGCAAAAGCAATATGGACAAGAGCATTGCTGCCTTGAAAAGGGCTGTATTATAGATATTTTGACAATTTGGATGCTTATATATATATACATACAAAAGTACATACTGACAAATATGTTGTAGTGTAAAGATATGAGAAATTAGCAAATGTAGTTTTCTATGCTGAATGTAAAAAGTGCAGAATTGCTGATACCCTGCATGATATCGGTGAAGTGACCATATACCACCTTGAACCAAGGTTTTTATAAATAGATCTATTTTTATGTATATCAATCAGAAGATTTATGTGTTGTGAAAAGCACAAATTGTGTTTTTTTAATGACATCAAATTTTTGTCCTTTTTAAGGATATTTGCTCATGGCCAGTGATGCATTTGAAGCATTGACAATGAAATCAACTGGATTTATACAAATATTTGTCAAAGTTTCTAAGACTTATTTTGTATTTTAAACTTTAATTCTGGAACAAAAGTGCAGGAAATCAGTCTTATGAATTGATTTTACTTGTGTAGACATCAATTCTCTAATACACAACCCACCCCTGAGTAAATGCAAAACTGGCTAGGGGCATTGGCTTTTTTTCCAGGTTAAACATGGTATTGGTGCTGAATGCATGAGTGTTCTATCTGCATTAATTCCAAATGAATGTTGTATGAATGTTTTAGTGTGTGAAATTTAGCATATGTAATGTACGATGCAGATGTCTGTGAGAATGATTTTTTAATACCTGATGGTATGACCTAATTTTTTTCTTGGCTCATGGAATAATCTTCATTATGACTGTCATATTTTAATATGATGAGATCTTACTTGTGGAAGATGAACTTCAGAATTTTCTGCCTTAGTATCACTTCAATGTTTCAGAAAGAATCAACACTTACACGTGTGCAAAGATAATTTAAGTATGAAGTTCTTTGTTGGTTTTTTTTTGTTTTATAGGTATCACTTGAACTTGAAATTACTGATTTGAATGAATTAATTTTATGAAGTATTTATATGTATATTTTGAATCGTGTTATAACTCTTGTTAAATATAATATTATACTGCATTGTATCTCTTTCTCTTGGCTCTCTTCTGTCTTCCGAACTTAAAAAAACAATTTTAAAACTAAAACATGGAAGCAGTTCATAATAATTCATTTTAGGCATTGAGACTAAACAAAAAGTTTGGGGACCAAGAAGACAATACTGATTTCAAGTAAAACCTGTCAGAAAACCTAGTAGTTTTGTTTCATAAATTTTAGTTACATTCTCTTTTGTGTTTTATGTATAAAGCTTTTTAAATATTTTATTATCTAATTTCATCTAGCTTATTGAGAGTATTGAACTATTGTTTTCCTTTAGGTGATAGAAGTAAAGTACAATGAGCCCTCTAAAGGTGTAAATGATCGTCTGTATGTAAGAGTGAAAGGTCTCGAAAAGTTCATGTTTAACAAGGAAGGAAAGTATGTGTGCTGATATCTTGATGATCAAGATGCTTTCAGCCTCCCTAGAAGCCAAATGAGGTAGTTACAATGAATTTGCACTTTTGACAGTTTACAAATTGTTTTCAATTTTCTCTTATGTATGTAAATGTTTCTTAAAAATTAATATATAAATATAATATTGTTATTAAAATTATTAATGATTTTCTTCCCCTGCTCACCCTCTTATTACATAGGTCAACAATTTGAAACTAGGGCTGAATTCATAGTCAATCCTTAAGGAACTAGGAGTTCCTCAAAGTGAGTGATCACTTGTAGAGAGTAATATGTTAAATTGACCATGGTGAAGTACCCCCTAAAAGTACTTTAAATAAAAGCAAAACATTGTCACCACCGTTTCTTTTGGTTGCGAGATAAAACCACAGCAACTTAAAACGTACCACACACAAAACCAAATTGTTGGACGATATTACACTTTCCATGTAAACAATGTGGACTAATATTCAATGCTGAAAGAAAAAAGAATGGGTGCCGAAGCAGTGCTGGTTCACTCAAGGTTTAAAGGCGGGGTATTGAGTTTGTTTACTCAGTCACAGGCCTGGTGCAGATTGTGCAGCTGTTGCGCTTTGGCGCGCATTTTCAAGTAAGGTTGTGCAAATTAATTGTGGTGCGTGTAGGGAATATCCAAGAGTATTATCTGCTTTTCTTATGATTCATATTAACTTGAATTAAATAATATTTTTAAATATTATATGTGTTTACTTAAAACCAAAATTGTAAAGTGATTTATTTATCCTTAATTACTTTAAAAGCAAAAAAAAGTGAAATCATAAAGTTTTAAATTGATCATTTCCTTATTGTTTTATTTTTTTCCCTACATAGATACTATACATTTGAGGGGTCCAGTGGAATACTGCCCCAACCACCCAATCTTTAAATTTGAGTACTTATAGTTTCATCACTTCTCATGTGTTCACATTATCAAATAAGCACACTCTTCGTCCAATATATATATATATAAATGATATATTATATATATATTATATAATATATATATATATATATATATATATATATATATATATATATATATATAACTAAATCAAAACCTCTTACTGTTGAAGCAACTGATTTCATAAAAAAAAACTTACAACAATATTAGACAGTTTTTGAAATATTAAATTCTATTTAATAGTTGTCCTGTTCCTTCCCACTTAAATGTATTTTATTAATTACACAAGGAAAAAGGTTAATATTATTAAAATTAGTAAGATTAAATACCGTTTTTTATTAATTTTACGATATTAGTTTTTTTCTTTCAGTGAGTATCAATAAAATTCAATTTTTATTAATGCTCATCTTCTCTAAGATGTTATACTTTATGTGGCATTAGCAAACATTTTACTCCAAATCTAGATTATAAATATGCTCGAAGATATAACGCATTTTTCCTGAAACTAGCTCGGTGTGTGTATTGTTCCTAAATTTGCCATTATCTAGACAATGAAATGCTGGATAAAAACTATTATATTTAAGTCCATTAGTAAATAACTGATACAAATTATTTATTGTTCATTTCATGAGCATGCTCATTTTAAGTATATTACATTGTATTTTTTTTCTCGAAATTCAATTATGTGAAAAAGTTTGTAAGAAATATATTCATTGTATGAACTGTGTAATTGATTTAAGTCTTCATCTCTGTAACATAATAGTTATTTGTAATATTTGAAAAAATAATCTAAATCATTGATTTTTTAAAAATTATCATTTGGTTTAAATAACTATTGAAATCATACCAGCTTTAACTTTTGGTGACATTTTTTAGCCAAAACTAGAATTACTATTTTGGGTAAGTCTTTGAAAACCAAAGAAAATGAAACAAATTTATAAATTATACTAGTTTCCTGTTTGGAGAGTTGATTCATTTTGTAGTTAGTAATAACATACCAGTAAATATTTTTAGTGTTCTGGGATTAAAGAGGGAATTTGCATATTAACAAAAAAAATCTTTTATGAAATGAAAATTTGTGGAAGATATAAAAATTTTAATTCGGCCTGTTTGTCCCAAGTTTTAGGCAATCTTTATTTTAAAATAAACAATTGGCATGGATTTCTTCGGTTTAGGCTGCAATACAAGATTTTTCATTTTCTATTGCTATCTGATTGGTTACTGTACATATTTCTACAAAGTCCACACACAAACTATCCTCATTCAAACCTACACATGGGCAGAACAATACTGAATTGTTATGGATGACAGAATTTTGACGGTATATGTAGAAAAATTGGATTGGATTTTTACTATAGTTGTCAACGATATTATTACAGGATTTATTGTTCAGATGATTCATTTACCAATTCAAATTTGGCTACATTTATTTACAATCTATAATATATTAACCTTTCGTAGCACTGAATTATGTTGCATATCCAAAAAAGTATTATACCTATCTCAATATTTTTAAAATAAACTTCAGATATTCAGAGTATATTATTTATTACACACAGTTTTTTTAATACACATTCCAAAACAAAAGTTTTTTAATTGTTCACATTCAAAAATTGTTTTAGTTATTTATTAATGTATTTCCAGTGTTCGTTAGGCAAGTTTTTCTAAAACAGAGCAATTATTATTTGATACATATATTGCTGAAATAATATATTTGTCTACAATACCATTGAGACTAGCAGCATCAAGGGAAAAAAATATTTCACTGGCACACTTTGTAATAAGATTTTCTTGAAATTTTCTTTGAGAAGACTAGAGGGCTGGACTTGTAGGAAACACTGTTGATACAATTCCATCTTCTAATGTTAGAGAAGTCAAATTCATTTTTATCTTGCCAGTTATCATACTGCAACTCTAAGATCACCTCCAGAATGGAAACGTAACTCTTACACCTAAGCAAATAAAATTAATTACATTTTCATCGTACACTAATGAGAGTGTACCTATTCTAGAAATGCAAACAATAATGGATTATGTATATTTGAAAATAAGACATTTTGAATACCAGGGTATTGCAAACAATGGATATATGCACATACAATGGACATATTACAAAACTTGTACAATACCATACGAAATAATATAATTACAATCCTTTAAACAAATAGAACAGAATAAATGACATGTACAGGTTAGGTTATACAACATAGATTTACGGATTTTTATGACTATTTTGCATAGTGTAAATGTTCACAAATGAAATAATCAATTACAATTATGCAACAAGATTCCAAAATGAATTAATAACTTCCAAAATACTGAAAACGAAGTTTTAGACATGACAAATAAATATCGCGACACAATTCACTCTACTTACAACGCACGACATTCTACATATCAACAAAATGCTGAAAAAATTCGATAAAAAATAGCACCTACCTGCTTGCAGCCTGCACGTAACGAAAAACAAACATCACCTACATTGCCAGCTTTTTGAATTGCATGACGTCACACGTTTAGTTTCGGCTCACGTCGGACCTGTTGTAAATGGCGCAAAAATCATTACCCCGTTTTGACCGCCAAGTTTCCCTACCCTGCGTCGAAGTCAACCTCAGGGCCCGGCAACTCTCCGTCAAAATCGGGGACAAAGCTTGAGGTTGCTACTATAGGAAGCGCTAGTGTCGCCGGGTGCAGCTGCAGGTTATGCTCGCCAACGTTCTCACACACAAATTGGCTAATTTGTGAGAAATACGAAAAGTGTCTTCTAAATAATTATTCATAATCTCTACTTGTAAGAAACCTCTAAGGAAAGCGCGAATGTAGACGTTATCTTTTGTAACATTATGGTCCTGCTTGCGACCCGCGAACTCAAGCAGCAGTCACGCACGTTTAAAGTATCGTTGGCAGCAGTTCCTGTTTTAGTTCCTGTAAAGATGATGCAGAAGTGCGCGCCACCGTAATGGTCTCCACCACGTTATATGGGAGTTATAGGGCCCTGGTCAACCTAATCTACATTAAGTATCGCCAACGTGTGAAAATAAAAAGCCAAACAAGAGATTAAATTTGTTAGTAAACATTGTTTATCTACAGCAACTATCCAATACTACTCTTTCAACTATTTACAAATAATTATTTAAATGCTCCTTTCACGTTTACAAGCAGCTATTGTTAATTGGTAGATGTAATACATTAGTGTGATTAGCGACTGGCACAAACATACCACCACATAGCACCTTAATAAAAACACTTTTGCGGGCATAGGTTTTTACTTCCTCACACTTGTGTAAGAAAAGGTATTGTAACTGCGCGCCGTAAAAACGCGAATATTCGACACAAAAACTCTTATTGCCGGGCCCTGGTAATGAAACTGTGGATTAATCCAGTTGCTAATTTTAGGGAGAAAATCTAATACGTAGTGTAGTCAGAACCCATGTTATGACTTTAAAATAATGGTGCATGTTTCATTTTTAGCATCCCCGATTCTTTCGAAAATTGGGAAAAAATAATTTTAAACTTCAAAATTGGAGACTGAGGTTTTTGTTTCAGACTATGTCTGTTGTACAAAATTAGCTCTTTAAACAAGGTCATGTAATTGTTTTTGAACGAGTCGTCTGGGTTATTTCTGGTCGAACAGCTTTCACACAAACTACGGGCCATGAGAACAATTGAATGATATGTGAAATAATAATTTGAATTATAATTTTCGATTGAAAATACCTATATTAATTCTATTTTTGATTTCTCGCATTTTTATTTTACTTAATTTTACAATTTGTATTCTTAATGTATTTTGTACTTTATGTATTAGTACGTACATAAAGTTGGCCGAAGTAAAGTCTGCCGACAGTATAATGGCTTTCATCGTTCTTTTATACAGGAGGCAAATAATGCATTAAGAGCTGTTATTCAGGCCATCATTCATAAAATTATAATATCGTCCGTTATAAAATATCATGGAGTGCAAGCACCACCGAGAAACGGTACATCTAGGTGGTGTTGATTGAAAGCAAATAACAGAAGCGGGTCAAAAATAGATCTTCAAATAAGACCACGTTAATTTTTTTGAAAATATGAGTAGTTTTCGGCGGCGGCGATATACTCTCTGGCGGCGATGGTGTAACGGTTAGCGTATCGGACTATTATGCTGAAGTTTGCGGGTTCAACCCGATCGAAGCCGTGGCTTTTAAAGGCGAAAAAAACCCTTCGGATTCGAGGT